CCGCCACGCCCCGCCACGCCCCACCACGCCCCGCCACGCCCCGCCACGCCCCACCACGCCTCGCCACGCCACGCCCCGCCACGCCCCGCCACGCCCCACCACGCCCCACCACGCCTCGCCCCGCCACCACAAAGGTCCAATCACAGGGGCCTACCGTAATGTAATCCGGCCAGCCCATACACTTATGACTCAGGGTCGAGGACGACGAGGATGCTTTCTCATCGGGGGGCGCGACGCTCATGGCGGGCGGGTCGAGCCGTGCGGCCTAAAAATAGAAACGCCTCCGAGTAATGCCCATTCTCGTCCTCCGGGCGCACAACAGGGCAAGGAGATGGACGGTTTGGTGTAGTAACATAATTGGCTAAGCAATCTCAAAGTCCATTGGTCCATGTACCAAAATGTTAGCTATCCATAGTCTGTTTATCGGCAATATCGGCATTACCTTTAAAAAGCTTACAGTGAGTTCCACCGTAACAATGGAAAAGAAAACGTGCTCTCGTAGCACTTATTAGCGATGGTATTGCTTTAACGCCCCTTGAAAGCCACTCTTGTCGTTTAAACGTCGCCTTACAAAGGTACAGACAGAGCCTAACAAGGGTATAAAATTGCCAGACTACGGCACAACAGTGCCTTGGAAAGCCTTTAGAGCACTTGCACTTCCTGAATAAGCGGTTTCATAGCACCCTGGTTTTTAGATTGAAGCTACAGTGAAATTGGCACCCCTATAGGCTATAGCTTACGGTTAAACAGTGAAACGAGCAGGAATAGTTGGACGTAAATTTACAACTAACATACTCTGTAAACGTAAACAAAAATATGTCGTAAATTTCAGGAGATATTTTTCACAGTGGAGGGAACCCAAAATTTCAGGGTCGATTTGAATTACCAATAAAAGCAAAACTTAATGGAACAATGCACTGGCAGTAACCTAAGGAAAAAAGTCATTGGTGTTTCTACGTTGAACATGAAGATATTAATGGCCAGTGCTTCTTAACATGGAGATTATCCTGTCAAGATTGTAGCCATGATACATTGTTCATAGTTGTCTGTGGCTCTTGGCCTTTGTCCGTAAAGTGAAAAATAAACTAATTCGTTCAGCGTGCTGCAAGGCCACATCGCGCGTAACAGGCTTCGCAATATCTGTCGAAACACCGTCAGGCTGTGACGCACCTTCACTCTAAATGTAAAGGGCCAATATTATCTCTTCAAGAGCTCAGTATTGTGTGCAACTTCAAAACTTTCCACCCCTTTATTGAAAAAGATGTGAGTGAATCTAGTCTAATAAATTCTTCGCAAGATTTTAACATTGTTTTGTGCAATTCAAACGATCCAGCATAGTGCCCTCGTATAGAAAGACAAAGTCCCTTACAATGCCATTTCGAGGCCTGACTAAGCGCCTGCAGGGTGGGCAGTCCCGTCGCGCGCGAGAGACATGCGGGTCGGCCTATCTCACCCCTGACACAGCAAACAGGCGCCAGCGCGAGCGCCAGCGGCCGGCGAGAGCGGATCTATCGCCCCGGCGCACACCGCCTCGGTGCGCTGGCCACCCCTACCGACCCACCCGACCTCCCCGTCTCGCCCCGTAC